CGAGAGGTGGTCCCATCCCCCCCCCCCCGAGAAATTTCCTAGCTACGCCCCTGATGATGACTTGAAGAGTACCCTCCGCCAGATTCAATTGAACCGATAGCGTTTAAACGAACAAAATCATTAGTTACTTAACAATGTTCCTGGGAAATCCTGTGATTTAGAGGTATGTTCACAACTCACCATGACATTCTCTATCTGCAGTAGCATAGACTCAATGGAGATAAATGCTATGATTTTTTTAGTCAGAGTCTCCCTCTCTTTTTTAAAGGGTGTCTCAGGCTTAATCGTCAAACTGTAGAGATTGGTTCCTCCAGGGCCGGATTAAGGGGGTGGTCATATGGGCCGCGGCCCATGGCGGCAAATCTAGGGGGCGGCAAATTTTGCAATTTTTTTAAATGTAGGTATAAAAAAAAATCGGATTTAGAAAAAAAGAATTACAAACGAGAAAAGGCTAAAAAATCTCTCATTTCCTGAGAGTATAGTAATTTCTAATTTTGTCGCCTTTTAGTGATACAAGAGACAGCACCTTTAGTTAGTCGAGTTAAGAGAGAAACCAAACACACAATTTGGCTTAGAACGGCGCGACTTAGGGAGAAATGATGACGAGGACTGGAAATGAAAAGGAGAAGCCCTCGGAGCGGCAATCGGCATGTAACACGTATTAGCGCCTACAAGACTGCACGAATACTTCACGCATTGCATCAAACACAGTGCGGTTATTACACAGCGTGAAACGGATAGCGCCTACAAGAATGCATGAATACTTCACGCATTGCGCCAAACACAGGCGGTCAGCGTGAAACGCATAGCGCCTACAAGACTGCGTGAATACTTCACGCATTGCGCCAAACACGGCGCGGTGGCGGAAGTTGAAATCATTAAACCAAAATTTTGTGTTTGTTCTTTCATAATGTTTTCGTTTATTTCTTATGAATGGGCGGCTTTGTCCATTTGAGATAGGTTTACGAAACTTGACTTTCGCGCAAAGTTGCGTGACCTTTTGCTGGTAGTGTTGACAGGGCTTTCCCAAAAAATATGTCCAACACGAGTAAACGCGTCTTATGCACCCCTCCCCCGATGGCACGTTCACTTGATGGTTTTTATTGATGTTTCAAAACGAATGAGTAGGGGGCAGCAAAATACAGGCGGCCCATCGGCGGCAAGTAGGAAAATCCGGCCCTGGGTTCCACAGGTCAAAATCAAGTTTTTCCCTGGAGTGTCCCCAATCATTCAGATATGCTCCCCTTAAATTTGGGAGAAATCATAGTTTTTCTCAGAATTTTGGCGGCAGTCATAGATCAAAAATCATGATAAATGAGTACCTAACTCCTATGATTTTAGTGCTGCGGATTGGCATCCATTGCCAAAAAAATTTGGGCGCGCGTTTCTAGTAACAGAGGGATTTAAGGGGGACCTTGGATTTTTCTGGATAAAAAAAATTTGGCCGCCTCTTTGAGCCCCGTCTAACTAGAAACGTAGGTACATATTTTTGCGACCATTGATGATTCAGCGCCAAAAATTACAGGAATTAGCCATTTTTTATGAGTTCTGGCCTGTAACCATCGCCAAAATTCTGGAAGAAAGCCCCGATTAAGGAAACTTCTGGAAAATGGTGTTCAGACGAGGAAATTTGAGTTTGGTCCATGCTGTGCCGTGCTTAGGAAAACAGTCGTGTTAGCCTTCAAGAGTTGCTGAATTTTCTTCCACAAAATATTTAGTTTTAAGGTGATTTCTCAAGGTATCCGATGTGGTCGAAGTGGCATGCAATATACAGCATGGATTATGTCAAATATCTCGGCAGATTTTGAATTTTTAGCCAAAAAATGACGCGGAGGAGTTATTGATTTCTGTATCGAATGCGAGGTTTATCCTCCACAAAGGATGACAAAGGATGCTTCATTTCTCTGAATCTTGCCAGTTTTTGGGTTTATAATGATTCTTTAGGCTCATGCGCGCGCGCGAGTTCTATCGCGTCCTTATTATTTGGACTAAAAATTCAAAATCCGCCGAGATTTTTTACATACTCCTTACGATATATCACATGTCAATTTGACCACGTCAGAAACCTAGACGACTCACCATAAGGAGCGGTTATATTATTTTCTCATCGAATTCTCAGATAATTCAGATCTGATTGCGAATACAAATCTCTGAAGAATTGGAGTAAAAATATGCACAGATTTCTCTCTAAACTCTCATTTAAACAAATGAAATTTGGCAACGTCTGAAGACTCATACGTCGATTTTCCTTAGCAAGGCAGCATCGAACACGCCCGCCCCTGCAGTATGGCCTTTAAGCCTTTGTATTGTCCCCAGCCAGTGCTGAAAAATCTGCGTTTTCCCCCATTTAAACCCCTTTAAAATAACCAAAATGCATTGCACAATCTGACAACCTTGAACCCTAGGAAACCCTGTATAGTGCGCAAAGCTTGCGCGTTCCACAATCGACAATCAGTGGTGAGGCGTTAATGATCGATTATCATAATTTTCCCATTTGAAGCTGTGGTGAAGAATCGATTATTAAGGTGTTCGTTGCAAACACCCTATTTATCGATATATTTCCATAGCTTTAAATGACAGATCAATCGATATATCGCAAAGCACGCCACGCCACGCCGCTGTCGACAATAGCGCAGATCCTTCACGTTATTGGACGTTGGTAGAAATCCCGCGCTCTGAAAAGCTGAGCAGAAAACGTCGCTCTTTTGACGAAAGAACGTATCTCGATTTTCACTTGGCCCCTCTTCCCCGTATAAGTTAATACTCTCCTGGGATCATGAGGAAATCGAGATACGTCTTTACGCCGAGGGGCGACAAAAAGGGGATACCTAAAGCCGATCCAGATTCGAGCGACCTCAATCAGCAGCCCAGATCAAAGCAATTTTGATGGTTGCTATATTCGATCTCAGTTATGGAGCTTTTGCGAGCGGGGAGTCAGAGCGATTTGTGATCCTTTTAAACCGGGGGTTTTGTTCCCTGATTTTCTCTCTCTCCCACCCTCTCCCCTCCTCTCTCTCTCTCTCTTTCCTCCTCTCCAACTCTCTTACAGATTTTTAACGAATATTCGCGAATGGATCTGGTTTACTTTTAGAATGCGCTGCTAACCTCTGATCCGAATAAAAAACGAAATGGGTTGTTTGACGTTCGACGAATCGTGTTTTTATTTTTGAATTTTTAAGAGTGGACAAGAGGCGAGTCCCTGCTAAAAATGGTGAGTACAAATGAGTAGAAAGTCAAAGTCATATGAATAGAATTTCAACTTATATGAAGAGAATTTAACTCATTTGAGCAGAATTTTCTGTATCCAGTTTGCGCCCTACTTCTATGACCAGAGATTCCAACTCATTTGACTAGAGATTTCAACTTGCATGAGTTCAGCGTTGGATCTACCGTGTCCGATATATCAGAAACTAGTCACCGCATCAAAAAAATCATGGGCACAAAATGTCTTTATTTTTCAAATTTACCCGCCACTAAAAGTAACTTACCTTATTACTAACCTTACTTTAAAAGTAAGCCCGCCTCTCCCGGAAAAAAGGGAGAAAACTTCGATTTCCCATCAGGGGAAAGCAGGGGCAAATCAGGAAAAGAGTATGGTTAAGAATTCGAGACACTTTGATTTTACTGTGTAGAAACCTACTACAGAAAATAAAGTTGTCACCTTCCGGCCAAATTATCACGCGCATTCAAAGTTTCCGCGGTAATTTATTTTTTTAACAGAGAAATTTTTCAACGAAGCTGTCTGAGAGTTTCACTGAATTTCCTATGTAGTTTTCAAACAGATTCAACGAGGCTGTCCGAAAATTTCACTACATTTTTTTTGTGCTGCCGATAAATTTTAGTGACATTTTCAAACGGATCCAACCAACGATTAATTTCTCTGTAAAAAAGTAAAATGGCGGCGGAAATTTTGATTTCGCATTCGGAGTTTCGCATGGCGCTTGTGATACCCCGGCCGGAAGGTGACAAAGTCGTCTCATGCTGCCATGCTGAGGAGGAACGCCGTATGAGCCTTCAGACGTTGCCAAGTTTCCTTCGATAAAGACCGACTTTACTGGGAAAATTGTGAATATTCTTTTCCAAAATTTTCAGACTATTTTGTACGCAATTCAATCTAAAATATCTGAAGAATTCAAAGAAAAATGTGCGTAAATGTGAAATGTCGTCAAAAATTCATGTTTTATCGAGGGAAATTTGGCAACTATCGAATGTTCTTACGGCGTTCTTCCTAAGCACGACAGAATATTCAAGTCGTCTGTCATCGTTGCTCACTGAAAAAAAATTCTCGGCGTTTTTACCAAGGTCCGTTGGTACCTTTATCATCTCACTTTTTTTACCAATTATTTCGGTAATTTTTCCAAGACAAACTGGTAGCTAACCTAAAAACCGGTATTTTTACTGTTTTTTCAGGTAAGAATACCACTTTTAACAAGGTGGAGAAATGGTGCTGGGTCCACACCATTTCGCGGGGAAATCAAAGCCAAGGAGTTCCAAAAATTAAAATTAGAGTCAAAATTAATTTTTTAAGCTCTAATTTTCGTACCCTCAGTTTCGTACTGGTGCGCATTAGAGCTCAAAAAATTAATTTTGACTCTAATTTAATTTTTGGAACTTCTTGGCTTTGATTTCCCCGCGAAATGGTGTGGACCCAGCACCATTTCTCCACCTTGTTACATACAGTTTCGGGCCACTTCTTAGTGTTTTTTTTTCTTCTTCTTCAATACCACTTTTATTGGTAATCAATTCCTGGTAACTTTACTATTTTATCTCGGTAATTCTACCACATTCGATAAAAAATATTGGCGTTTTTACCGGGGTCCAGTAAAATTACCAACTCCATGAATGATAATTTTACCA